TAATTAATAATTAATAAAAAATATGATTGATATAATAATATATATTATTATTTGATCTATAATTAACTAAATCTAGTTATCACCGAGCTTAATATCGAGTATTTAAAGAGTTACTTGTTGAACAACAAACGAATTTGTTCTTAAACATAAATGAACTAGTTCGACTGTATTCTTGTTTAGTTCATGTGTGCTCCGAACCTTTAAAACTTATTCAAGTTTGTTACTTTTCTAATTTGAACGAACATGATAGAGTCTTAGTTGAGCCGAGTTGAAGTTGTTTATCGAGTGCTTTGGTTCATTTACAGTCGTAGTTGAGCCGAGTTGAACTTATTTAAGTTTGTTTGTTTACCAATTCATCATATAACTTACTTGAAACCCTTAAACAGTCGATTCCTAAACTATTTACTAGATAATTGTTAATTAGGAATGCTTGAATTTTGACATATTAATTTAATATTACTAGATGTCTTATTTTGTCTCTCAGGATTATTTCAAAAGTCAAGCAAATCTATTTCTTTAGTATGGTATGACAATTTTGATGACAATTGAATAAAGCCTTGATGTCATACCGATATGTCTTGTAACCTTCTAGGTTTAGAGTAGTGATGTTAACAATCTGTTGTCAGCTTCCTGCACTAGGTTCATTAGCAGGACTCACTAACCTGCATTTGGGTGCGCTTGTTCGAGCTCGATTGCTTGACATCATCATTTACGGTCAAACGTAGATCCTTGACATCCCTCTCGATAAATGGCCTTCCTGTATAGACGTCGAAGCTACCGAAGGGATAACTGCTGCGCACCTTATTGCAAACAATGGCTGGGACCTTCAACAACTTCGTTGCTGTTTTTGGGCAGATTTATGCCAGCGCATCTCCCAACTCCTAATACATAACCAGCTCATTGATGAACTAGTTGAGCTTGTTTATTCCCACGCTGGAAACATCATCACTGCTCTTGCCTACAAGCCTACAATTGATGAAAATCATAGCAGATTTTTATGGCTCAAAAAGCTCAAAATACACACACGTGATGGATTCTTTTGGTGGTGACTTGCTCTGGATGCCATCCCAACCAAATATTGGCTTTTTAAAAGAGGACAGGCCGAGGATAGGCCATGTCCTTGGGGATGTAATGGTGATGAAGATGCTGGGCATATGACTGCTCGCTGTATAGTTCTACAGGAGGTTTGATACAAACTGCAGCAATGGAGCTTTCTCAGTCCCAACTTCGACAGCCTGCATGCTGTCATTAAGGGCCTAAATGATTCTAACAACAGCAATTTTGGGCTTGTTCTTCTTTTTTGCAAGGTTGTACATCAATCTTCGCTGGCTAGAAATGCCAAAAATTATTTAAGTTTGTTTATTTACCAATTTCAACGAACATGATGGAGTCGTAGTTTAGCCGAAATCAAGTTGTTTATCGAGTGCATTGGTTCATTTACAGCCCTATTCTTGACCAATTCATCATATAAGTAGACTCTCTTGAAAGCTTTAAACAGTCGATTCCAAAATATTTAGTAGATAATTGTTAATTAGGAATGCTTGAATTTTGAGATATTAATTTAATATTACTAGATGTCTTATTTTGTTTCAGGATTTTTTCAAAAGTCAAACAAATCTTTTTCATTAGTATGGTATGACAATTTTGATGATAATTGAATAAAGCCTTGATGTCATACCGATATGTTTTCTAACCTTCCAGGTTTGGAATAGTGATGTTAACAATCTACTGTCAGCTTCCTGCACTACGTTCATTAGCAGGACTCATAAATCTGCATTTGGGTACGCTCGATCGTGCTCGCTTACTTGTATGCGTTCAATCGAGCTCGCTCGCTTGTATGCACTACATATTTGCACTCTTGCTCCGTCTTGGCATGTTAGCTTAAGGATGTATTAATTATTTATGCTTGTCAGATCTCTTATGTGGACACCTCATGGCATCACACTCATGTAAGGTTGCCTTCTCCGTCCCTCGTTAACTTAAGGCTTTCATACTGCCTTATTCACTTGCGTTTTCCTCCTCCTACTACTCTTCCTTGTTTTCATCATTGTGCATGTTTACTTCCTTTTACTCTCGATGATGCAACAGTTGTCATTCTGAGTTTTGCTTTGGTTCTTTCTCTTTTTCCGCTAGTTTTTCACAGAAGTCCATTTCCTTTCCTTCCCTCATTAGTTTCTCTTAGGGTGTTGCATGACCGAACTACATATCTACTCATACCGAGGTTCCAATGTATCTCGTCGATGACATTGAAAAATTCTGTAGAAACTTTCTTTGGAACGAAGATGGTAACACCAAGGGGCTTCACAACGTGGGCTGAACTTTGCCAGACTTGCATGGGACCATATTACGAGCCTCAGGTCTCTGCTTCACCAAATACTGGAACCGAAATATGCAAATAATAAATGGGAGAATCCTTACAAAAGAGGCAACCCTATTACCTGGAAAGTTATCACGAATGGAGTGCAGCGGCTACCACACATTGTTGGATGGAAAATTGTTAGTGGCAAAACATCTCCACAGTCAAACGTAGATCCTTGACATCCCTCTCGATAAATGGCCTTCCTGTATAGACGTTTAAGCTACTGAAGGGAATACTGCTGCGCATCTTATTGCTGACGATGGCTGGGACCTTCCAACTACTTTATGCCAGCGTATCTCCCAACTCCCAATACATAACCATCTCATTGATGAACAAGTTGAGCTTTTTTATTCCCACGCTGGAAAGACCATCACTGCTCTTGCCTACAAGGCCACAATTGATGAAAAACATAGCAAATTTTTATTGTTCAAAAAGCTCAAAATACACCCATGTGATAGATTTTGTTGGTGGCGACTTGCTCTGGATGCCATCCCAACCAAGTGTTGGCTTTTTGGAAGAGGGATGGCCGAGGATAGGCAGTGTTCTTGGGCATGTAATGATGATGAATATGCTGCATATGATTGCTCGCTGTAAAGTTCTACAGGAGGTTCAAAACAAACTGCAGCAATGGGGCTTTCTTACTCCCAGCTTCAACAGCCTGCAGGCTGTCTTTAAGGGCCTAAATGAATCTACAACAGCAAGCTTTTTTGCAAGGTTGTACATCAATCTTGGGGGGCTAGAAACACCAAAAAGCATGGAAGACCCTACGGCACTCCAACGGTCCTAGCATCTGCCACTTTAGAGTTGCTGTTATCTTCACATCACTTCCATCTTTTGGAGCAATGGGGCACCAATCAGTTTGTTTGACAGTACATGCCACCCCCGCCATAACCACCCCTGCCACGTGAGATGGCTCAAAATTAATGTGGATGGAACCCTTCTCTCATCTTATGCTGGTCCCATTGGCATTGTCGTCAGAGATGAAAAAGGCATACTTATTTTGGCTATCGGCAATTCTATCGAGCGCTCGAGTAGTGCCTATGTTGTACTTGGGGCAATTTTATTAATCAAACACCTCTTGGAGCAGTGGGTGTACGAAGTTAGCGTTATTATCATTGAAAATGACAACAAGAACATCTTTGATTCACTTCAACATGTTATGACGAACAACATTAGGTAGACATAACTGTAAGATATGGAAGATCTCTCCTTTTTGACTTATTTCGAACAGGTTCTTTTCCAACATATAGATAGAAGAAAAAGAATAGCTGCTCATACATGTGCTGAAAATGCTATACATGGTAGTTTTTTTGTTATGAATGTTGATAGTTCATATTTCCTTCTTCCTTTTCTTGATTTTGACCAAGCCCATGTTTTGAATGGCTAGGTTTCTTTTTGTAACTTTTTGTACTCTCCTTTTGGTTTAATCCAGTATGCACATTTCAAGATTAAGTCTCCACGCTCTACCCGAGCTGCTTCTTACTTCTCAAAGTTCCTCTTGCTTCCCGTTTCTTGAAATTTTCACTTATTGTTGTCCACCTTGCTCATCCTTCTTCAAATTTTGTTGGTGAATTGAGGAATAAAAATGTTTTTCCTTATACATCAAACAACCATTTCTCGTTATTTTTTTCTCCAAGACCCAATATTATTTGCTCATAAGCTTCTATTAACATGTCAGGGTTAACTTGCTCTCATCTTCACCAAAGAGATGTCATAGCTTACTAGGTCAAAGTTTTTTCTTTTTCCTGGTGGTAAATTCTTACTAGGCTACCCCAATATGAAGATTATATGCAAATCATATCTGAAATTTAGATTACAAAAATTAATTTTTCTTAATAATCATAGAAGAAACTTTTGCTTTTGCAACTACTTTAGCTTGAAATTCATATTGCTTACATTATGAGAGGGCAGCTCAATGTTTATCATTAACTTTTTATTTTTTTATTTTTAGAATGTGTTATGGTAGTAATTTCACTGATTCATTGTGATGATGAACTGAGTGTTGATGATTGTTGGCATTCTGCATGATCAATTGAGGGAAGTTGGTAAGCCAGAACCATTAGAGGGAGGTGACATATCTTACAATATGAAACTTGTGAAACCGTAGAAGAAAAAAAAAACAGCTTCTGTCGTGATTAATTTAATTGAGCCATTGCATATTTCTTATTTGCTCCTCACTTAGTGAGATAAAGGGTTGTTGTTGTTGTGTATATCTTATTTGCTGACCATCTTTTTTGTGATAGCCTTATTTGCATTCTTTCTTTAAATGGCAGAAACACTCTCCCTTTAACTAAGGCTAACCAATGCAATCTCAAAGATTGTTCTCTCTCATGGAAGAAAATCTTTTGTAGAAGGGTTTTTCTGAAATGCCTTTTGTTTGGAAATACTTCTTCCGTTTGATGATTGTCCATGAGAATTTGGAAATTTATTGCTCTCCCAAATTTCTGATTACTGGCATTTAGCCTCTTTTCTCTTGCATTTGGACAAGTTGTCTGCCTTTTCTTTTTCATGATTGAATGCGACATTGTTTTACCATATGAAATGTAATTACAGTTTCATGTCACACACACATTGATACTCTCTTTATTTCCTTATGTACGCATTAGCGCACTAACTTATAATACATGCTGTTTTCTGCTAGGAGCAATCGATTTCAGTGTTCATCTCTTCTGCAGCAAATATGTTACCTCAGGTCCGGCAGAGACTTTCTGCAGTAGCATCTGCTATTTTTCATAAGGAGTAAATTTTCTATTTGCATATAATCTGGATTATGCTTAGGTCTTAGAAATTCACCATCTTTTGTTGTTTTATAGCTTAAAATGGAAATCAAATTCTTTTGTTGTTTTACAGCTTAAATGGATTATACTTGCCTACTCATTCAATGACGTAGGGCTTCTGAACCAGCAGACTGAACTAGCTGGTAAAGAGACTGGCTACAGGATGGCCGGTCCTGATCACTATTGGACCGAGTGACAATTAGAATGGCGACACTGTCACGACCCTTCACTTTTTTCTTTTTTGTTTCTCACCTAATGGGAGTCTATCTATGTGCTTGTTTGCTGGAAGCAAGGCTATGTTTTGTGTGATTTCTCTTTGCAGATTCTGTGTGGAGTCTTCTTTTCCCTTGCTAGGGCTGTATCTTGTGACGGGTGGTGCTTCAGCTGTATCCTGCTCTTAGGTGAGATGGTATCCTCTCCGATTTCCTTCCTACCCTTGCCCCTTCTCTGCCTTAGCTGTCGAACAACCCCTACTCCTCCCTGTTTGCCCCTGACACCCTCTTTCTGCAGCCAGCTTTGCTGTCCAGTCCATCCAGCTGCCTTTCCTGCGCCTTCCTTGTTTTCTAAACCTCCAGCCCTCAAACAGCCACAAATTCTCTTCTCAACCTACTTTACAGCCACCAACTCCTGTCCGAATCCCCTTGCCACTTACCATCACCTCCTCCAGCCTCCCCCGATTCGTCCACCATCCAACCTATTCCTTTCTCTTCACTCCTACTTTCTCATATTCCACATTCCCATACCACTACTACTCTTCACCACCTCACCGATGCCACCATAGCCCTCAGATCTTCTCATCCGAGCCTATTTGGAGATTGGTGTTGTTTTATTTCCATTTTAAGTCCTGTTTGTAACCCTAATTCATTTGCTTAAATAAAATTGCTTCCGTTTCTGCTAGTTTGACTAGTTCCGGTAATATTTGATATCATAACTAGCCTAGCCCTAGTTCTATCGCAGGGTTTCCTAGCATCCACCATAAACCAAAAATTTTCTTTCCTATCATTAAATACCCTGTTCACTCTCACAAATCCCAATTCCTAACCATGCCACCTAGTAGATACATGCCCAGCCTACATCGAGGAGGATATTGATGATGACACTCCGGAGAGACTTACCCTCAATGGTGGCAGCGAAAGCTGAAGAGGAGAAAGAGATGAAAATTTTAACCCCTTTCACAAGAAGGATGTCTGCGATGAAGATGAAATGCCACAACATTACAGAATCCCATATTAGAGGAAGTCTGGAGAAGAGACATCATTTGGAGGACATAAAGATTTCAGAATAAAGGTGAATCTACCATAGTTTGATGGAGGTATGAATCCAGATGATTTTATTGAAGAGCTACAGTTAGTTGAGAGGATCTCTGAGTAAAAAGAGGTGCAGAAGCTAGAAGGGTAAAACTTGCAATAATCAAAATTAGAAAGAGCGCCTCTTTGTGGTGGGATAACTTGCAGTGACAGGGGAAAATAGAAAGCAGTGATAAGAGTAATAAGTGGGAAAAGATGAAGAAAGGGATGCAGAGGAAATACCTCTCATTCCATTACCACCAGGATATGTTCTGAGGCTCCACCACCTGCTGTAGAAAAATCTTCAGTCGAGAAGTTCATGGTGCAGTTTTATCAGCTGCAGGTATGTGATTTGATCGAGCCAGAAGAGCATATCATAGCCCGTCATCGACGGGCCTGAAACCCGCTATTAGCAACGCAGTGTAGTTGCAGCCTAATTCGTCACTTGGAGATGTCCAAACTTTAGTACTGAAAGTGGAAATACAGTAAAAAACATAGCAAACAACCACAATTGGAAAAATCAGTAGGAACACACCTTAGATAGTCGAGAAAGCTAGTTCAGATAAGGATAGAGCCACCTTAGGGAGTTCCGATATCATTCAAATGCACAATTATTACCATACACTATATTTGACCTTGAGATATTCGATTTTGGGTTTTCTGTACTTTTTCTATGTAACAAACTGACTTGGGAGTTTGAAATTATCAAGGCGAAAATGGACGTTCTGATAGTTGTGTGACTTGTACCATACCAGTCTAACATTTAAAATAATGCTCAATGATCATCCGGACAATATAGAGTCGTTGAACTACAATATTTTTAATACACAATAAAGAACAAATAATAGAAGAAGATTCATATTGTCATGATACTAAGGGTCTGTTTGGCGCAGTTGCAGCTACATTGATCCAGGAAGCTGCTGCAGGGAAGCTGGTTGCCTGTTTGTTGCTGCTGTTTGAAAACCGCTGTGGGGCAGCTGTTGATGGAAAAATGTCCATTCTGCCTCTGTTTAGTAAAACTGTTTAAAACAAAAAATGTGACTTTATAATAACTCTACAAGTCCACGAGGAATAATTTAGTGAAATGCAAGAGAATTTAGGCATGGATTGAAATATTTTATGCTCATTTTAGTTATTTATTTATAATTTTTTTTTGTGAATCCGATTGTGTTTCTTGTGCCATGCTCGCTCACTTATGTTGTTATGATTTGATTTGAAAAAGATTTTAAAACACCAATTCAATTCATTCCTCCTCTCAGCAAGCTAGAGACCATCAATTTTTATCAAAACTATGGCTCATTTACTTCATTTAAACACCCAAGAGTACAACATGTAGCAGATGATTATCCAATCTACCACCAAGCCATCAATATTAGACAAATGACCCTTTTGGTTATTGTAAAAATAAAAATGAGTACATTTTAAGACCACATAACTCTAGACTGTGGCACCTGCATAGTTATAGCTTACCCACAAAAATTGTAGATAGTATTACAGTTAAAAATCATTTATACGATGGACTCGCATAAGATAGAAGTTAGTGACCTGCAACAAAAGCTCAATCAAAATTCCTGAGCCAATTTTAAAAAGTAACACACAAAACTAATAAGAATTGTGTGGTATTTACAACAAAAGCTGCTCCAAGAAATTTAAAGCTCTCCTGCTTTAATTTAAAGCTGCTACAATTTATATTTGATAATAAGTTTTCATCGACATTTAAAGCTTTCCTGCTTCTATACTGCTTAATGGTAGCTTAATAATCTTAATATATAAACAAGTCAGGAAGTTACGAATGAGCTTAAACAAGTCAGGAAGTTAATAATACAATGCATCAACTGGACTAAATCCTAGTAGCATGTTAAGTGGAGAATGATGATGGTCAATTTGTTTTGATGCAGTGCTTTATCAATAGAGATTCCAAGGGGCAACGAGCACAAGAGTGTCATTCTTTATGAAAAACGACAAATAATAAATGAATATTATATGTTAACTATTCATGCAAAGACAACTCGGTAGTTATTGAGAAGACTACAAAATTTGTCATTTCTTACTTTATTCCAACAACAAATATCACGCATCCAACCAAGATTTTCAGCACAACTGAGAATCAACCACCAATTTAACATTTTTACAAAATCTAGAAATAAAATAATCCATACAAAGACTTAAGACAATTTTTTTTCAACTTTACTTTGCAAAAATAAAAAAAATAAAAAAAAAAGAGTGCAAGAGTCAGAATTGAAACAATTGCCTAAAGTTTGATTCAATGATGCAAAAACAACACTAAAATAGATGGTGCTCAGCAAACAAACAAGATCAAAACACCAAAAATCTTAAAACTGCCAAATTAGCTAAAAGCAATATTTTCTTTGGTTCTTCTCAAAGTTCTCTTCAGCAAAATGTTCAAAAGGTGTTAGATATAACACAAAGATTACTTGGCTAGCAACCCAATCCCTCTTTTGCCATAGAGGTCACCCTAAGAAGAGCCTTAACGCTTAAAGCAGAAAGCTTCCCAGGAAAGATTGTCCACAACTTGTGAGTCCTCTGAAAGTCTCGATTTCTCGTAAAATGCTTGCAGCTCAACTGAAAGGGCTCGAGCAGCTTCTCGAGACTCCGGAAGCTGATCGCTGAGTAACATCAGTATTGCATACTAATGAAGAATAAGAGTAACGAACTGTGATAGATTGGGATAGAAATTAATAAAAACAATTGGATGAAGAAAGTAAATGAAAATTGAATAATGATAGTTTTTCCCTAACCTAATCCGACAACAAACCTTGTTCAAGCCCTCAACTCAAACTGATTACAATATGAATTCTAACATGACTGCAGGAAATCCTATTGGACTTAGCATAGGTCTTAGGAGAAATCGTTCTCCCAATCATTCATATTCAAAGCATGTCATTCCTATCATTGAGTTGGTTATCCTTAACCTTAAAATTGAACATTTCATAAGCCTAACCCCAATTGGTCCTAAACAACTCAATAACAAAACAAAGGTGATTTTAATATTGTTAAAATGGAAGAAGGAAAACTTGCATATAAAACCAATATTATCTATATGGAACATCATCAGACTCAAATCCCCCGGAGATAGGATCTATGGTCTTTCTGTTTCCAATTTCAGCAGGGTTTATAGATATAATACCAGGAAACCCTTTGAAGGCCCCTCCATAAATCTCTGTTGATATTCTTTTTCTTCAGAAGATTCCACACACGGACTTCAGGATCAATTTTTATGACCTCAACAACTGTAAATCACAATAACAAAACCGCAGCTGAAGTCGTAAATGTTAGCCAAACATACTATAATTTGTACATATAATTCCTGATGAGCCTGTTTTCCATTTGGTAGGGATAAACAAAATCAGCTACAAATAAAAATTTGGATAATTTTCTGAAACGCTAGGCCATAAGTTAAGTGAAAACATTTCAAAAGTTGCTATTTGTATTGGTACAAAGCTAAAAAATTATATGAATTATTATAACTCTACAAAGAGCTAAAAATTAAGCTTCTAAAAATTTGATTCAACATAAAAGAAACAAACATCAAGTTGGTTGGTTGAAGTGGAGTCTAAAGGCCTTCGTTTATGTAGAACTAAAACTGAATACATGGAATGTAATTTTAGTGGTAATAGCTCTAGTGACAGAAGTGTGGCTTTGGGTGATCTAATTATTAAAAGGTGTCAACGATTTTGTCCAAAGCGATGGTGATATAGATGGGGATGTTAATAGTAGAATTCAAGTTGGTTGGTTGAAGTGGAGGAATGCTTCGGGCCTTTTGTGTGATAGAAAAGTACCGCTAAGACTGAAAGGAAAATTTTATAAGATGGTGGTGAGACCTGCAATGCTCTATGGCGCTGAATGTTGGCCTTTAAAAGAGAAGCATAATAATAAGTTAAGTGTTGCCGAGATGAGAATGATTAGGTGGATGAGTGGCTTTACACTTAGAGACAAAATGCGGAATGAATATATTCGTGATAGGGTTGGTGTAGCTCCCGTGACAGACAAAATTAGAGAAAGTCGTCTTAGATGGTTTGGTCATATTAATCGTCGACCATTAGATGATCCGATTAGGAGAGTAGATGTTTTAAATTCCACTAGTGTTAAGAAAGGCAGAGGTAGACCTAGGAAGACTTGGGCTTATTGTATTAAAAATGATCTTAATTTACTAGAACTAAATGAAAATATGACATTAAATAGGACGCAATAGAGAAAAAGGATTCATGTAGCCGATCCCACGTAGTGGGATTAAGGCTTTGTTGTTGTTGTTGTATAAAAGAAACAAACAGTCTAGTGCAGATCAAAACTGTTGTTAAATAATCATAAAATGCACAGTGGGAGGTGTAGAGGCGGAGGAACAATCATTACTCTTTGGATACCAATTCGATTATAACCCTTACTTGCAGATAAAAAAATCTAGATTTAGAATGACCAAGAACACATTAATCAAATTGAAAAAAAAAAGATTAACAATGGAGCTATTTGAAGCATATCATACAACACTTCTCTTGCCACATATTCAATCTTCATTTGTAGAAGCAATAGATATTAGAAGCAGACACTTCATATCTCTCTCTCTCTCTCTCTTGTTTTTCATGAAAGAATAAGCTCAAAGTACATCATTCGGAAATATATCATAAAAAAGAAGTAATGAATTTCTTAAGGAAATGGAGATAGAAAACAATACCTTTCTACTTCTCTTGCTTTTTAACACTCCCTGCGATCTCCTTCTCGCTTGCCCTTGGTTTACTATTCCCCTCAAGCTGATCCTTCTAGTTTCGCTTTATCTCTTCCAGAAGCTTGTCCTCCAAAGCCATATTGTATTTCAATCCCTCTCCAAATCCAGCCGGCTTAAAATATAATAAAACCGACAATAGAGACGGGCACCACCTAAGCTTTCCAACCATGATCAATTAAACAAGAAAAGCCTTGACGACCAAAAAATAAACATATTTTTAAACAAGAAATTAGCTGAGCTCATGGTGGTGAGAGAGACAGAAAGATTAAAGAATAAACAAGAAAAAATATACTTCCTCTGCACAAAGCACCACGAACCACACTATGGCGGAAGAAGGAAGAAGAGGGCTGTGCAGCTTCGACAGAGAGGATGGAGAAAGAGGGACAAGACTTCCTTTCAACAAAAAGACAAGAGAAGAAGAACGAACGAGCCGAACTGTCAGAGAAGAGGAAAGAACAAGAGAGAGGACGAACGAACGAAAGCCAGCACCAACAAACGACCGCGAGAGGAGGAGAGGGGAAGGAGCAGAGCTTGCTTTCGCATAACGACCCGAAAGAACCAACCTTCGATCAAAGGGGCAACTGGGTAAGAATAGAATCGCGGAACACGGGTCCGCTTTTTGCGAAAACCCTCCCCACTGGCGGCCGCGAAGCTCCTCTGTCGCTCCCCCAAATAGTAGATCTCGGCGGTGGGGTGCAACGAAGCTCTCCAGCTGTGCCCCTAAACAGACTCTAAGAGTTCGTTCTTCTGTAAACACTCTTTGTTGTTAGTCAGGTAACTAAAATGAACATACCTTGAAAGAAGCGGTTAAACAATTTTAAGTTATAATTTAGTGAATAATTATAGTTTTACCACAATAGTTACACAACATTTTTGGTTTTGAGATTCAATCAGAGGGGTGAAATATGCTAGTGAGTAGAACTGATGTGGGATGATTACTTGATGTACAAAAATCAAAGATAGAAATGAAGCTTTAATCAAGCTTGGTTTTGATATCAAAATTGATGAAAAAGAGTGATGAAGTACTCAATGTACACATTTTGTAGTGAATGAAGTATACAACTTGGATACATGGAGTACTTAATTGACATCATGAAGTTTTAAATTTAATTCAACAATGTTCAATTCATTACACGTAATGATGCATTTTTATATGAATCTGGTTATAGGTTTGTACTAAATAATTTAAATTTAAACTTAATCCTATTTTAAATCAAATTCAAATCGATAATTTTCTAGAAGACATTGAATCTGATATAAAATTTTTTTTTAAAAAAATATATCACAAATGGAAATATGACTAAAATGCTTAAACATTGGCCATGTTCAATTATGTTGTAGGTGTTGGCTCGAGCCCTTATAGCTGGCCCTTGGCTGTGTTTTTGTGCACCAATTAAGCCTAATTTATGCTACATTATGCTACATCATGAAGTTTCCTGAATTTGAAATGCATGAGAAACTTGAGAACGAACCATAAACATCACATTCTTTATTATTTAGAAGCTATTATTCATGCAAAGAAACCAACCATAGAACAAGTTGATAGAAATCACCAGTTTGTTGATCTAAATGTTACATTGGTACACGAAGTATCATGACTTGGGAAGTCCTCTAAGAATCCTTATCGAACAAAATGTGAGAATCAATAGTAAAATAAGATAGCATTTGCCATAGCCTATGCATGGAACTCATGGTTTAAATTTATTTCCTAAAAGACCGATGGACAGTAAGTTCTCAGAGTCGAAAACAATAATTAAAATAATAGAAATCCTTCTTTTTCCTTACATGTTTACGTCTCCGGTTATTCTTTTGAATTCAAGCTACAGGGGGATAATTCAGATAGCATTTGCCATAGCCTATACATGGAAAAGCTGTAATCGGTGATAAGAAACTCATGAAACAGCTAAGTAGATCTCAGACCATTGATGGTCTCGGTAGTTTAAGGAAAAATCAGTGGAAAATAAGCAACATACATGAATCCTGACTTTCTCTTCAAGGTACAATCGGGCCAAGTCATTCTGTGGTTGTAGGCAGTTAAACCATTAACATGAGGAAGATGATTCCTTATATGAACAGATGGTTTTAATCTTAAGTGTACTTGATTATGGCTGAAGTTGAAACTGCATGTAGATAGAATCAAACTTAATAAGGCATTTAAAAAGTAGTCAATGCATCTCGTTCTCATAGGCATTTACAATATAAGCAATGTGCATTTAAATCAACCTTGAACATAGAAAAATATGATCGTTGTCATAGGCATCTTCAACAATATAAGCATGGGACCTTAATTCAACCTAGAAAATAGAATAAAATGACGCAGAGACAACATACTTAATAACATTGAACATTTTTTTGTGGTTCTAATTAATAGAAGTTTCTGATTTGCATCAATAGGGAAAATGTTCTCGTTGTTACCATCAGCACTTCTAAATTCTTTCTTGAAAGTGTTGTAGAAATTTGAATTTCTGCCAATTTTCGTTGTTCTGGAAAGCTTCTACAACCATTCACTTTTTTATCATTGACTGCCTTGATTTTGAAATAGTCGGATCTCATTCACTATTCATGGCATGTCCCTACTTTGTGCATGAGTTGTTTTTCCTTTTCTGAAGTGTGTTTTACTTCATGTTGCAGAGGTGCCTTCTTGAACAACGGGCCATAATTGATGTTGATGATGGCAAGTATTTGAATGAAGAGAGTGATCCAAGATCTGTGAGTGTCGTGCATGATTTTGTTGAGGAATATTGTTGTTAATCTATTTTAGAGAATTACTTTAATTCTTTGAATTATGCTTTTTATTTTGGCTGAATCTGCACTCAGTAAACGAGTCTTTATGTATTTGTTGATTTGAGACCCTTCATAGCAAACTGTTTGCCAGCTCACTTTTTCATTTTTTCCCATGATGTTTACCTGCATTTTGTTTTCTTTGTTTTGTGTTTTTTTTTTTTTTTTTTTTGAGAAAAATGATAGTTCATCTTTTTATACTCTTCGTTAATATACCCATATTAGATCTGATAGGAATATGTCCTACCAAGGTTTGCAATCTAACCTGTTATTTTCTTTGACGTTCGGAATGTTTGGAAGAAATTGAGCTCTTGTTATCTGTCTTTACTTTCATCACTGCAGAAAACGATTTTGCATTTGATTATTTTCATTAAATTTTTCTTAGTTTCTTCTCTGCATATTTTGTTCCACTAAAGAGAGAGTTTCTGCTTGACATCTTTTTTGAACTAGTCAGCTTTTGTGCTTCTAACTGAAATTTTGACCCCTTACAATTCCATTTCAAGTGGGTTTCTATGAAGATTCAGTTAGATGTTTTCATCAGTAGGACTAATGTCCTTCATAATCTTGAGCTGAACTCCTGGGGCTATTTTTCAAGTCTATGTCAGTTTTCAATTTTATATCCTAGTATGCAACAGTGTAAACCATTTTGCTAGCAAAATTTTACCTAGCCTCTGACCTACTGTATCCTTCTTCACCTCTCCCTTCCGCCTTCTCTTTGTTTCATGCTCATAATGCACAGATTTCGTTTCCTTTGTTGTGCTTTGAGCTTTAATAACATTTTGATCGCACCTTGTACCATTTAATGAAAGGGAGTAAATTTTGAATGCTGAATTGCTTACCTGCAGGCTCTGGAATACTTATTGGATGACGTCTGTGATTTTCTGTCTTCACATTATAAAATTGAAGATAGAAAAGAAAGTAGTGATGACAAGGATGGCTGTGTTCACGTACTTAAATCTTTTCTAGATTACATTTCCACGAGGGAATCAGAAAATTTCCGGTCTCGAAGACAAGATAATGGCAATTCTGTAACTTTGACTACTATTCATCAGGTTATCCATTTCTGCAATTTTATTTTATTTCATTTTTTCAAAAGGCTTAATAGTAAGGTTGAGAATGATAAAGGTTTTGTTTTCCTCTTGAAGTCTAAAGGTCTGGAATGGGACGTCGTTTTCATTGTGAAGGTATGGCTCATCACTTAAGTATGCCTTTTTGGTTCATGAAGGTGGTTTCTTATAAATTCAAGTTCCGCGCTTTTTTAGCCTCTTTTTTGTGTTCTTTTTAAGTTGTTATCACCATGGAGTTACCTTTTGCTAAGGTCGGATCTTGAATTCGCTCCAGCAAAGTGATTCCTTGATACTAGAGTTGAATCAAATCATAATAACGAAAACAAGGCAATGCAACTAGAGTTACAATCAAGACTCAAACGGAAATGAAAACGACACAAAACACCAATATCTTGCTAGGATTTTGTAGGAATATCTGTGGACATCGATGAAGAGGCATGGTGGTTGGCAGTGGAGCAGGGAAGAGATGGTGGTGGATGGTTGGAGACAATAAAGGGCTGAGTCATTGGTAGGTGTAAACACGAAGAAGGGTAGGGGGTCGACGACTGGGAACCAGGGAAGGCATGTGAGGGTCAGTGGCTGGAACAAGGAGAAGGGAAGGTGGCTAGCAACTTGAAACAGTGAGAAGGTGAAGGTTGGGGCTGACTGCTTGAACAGGGGGAAAGGAATCAGTTAGAAACATGGATAAGGTGAACATTGGGGCCAACGGCTGAACAGGGAGAGGGGAAGGTGGACGGTGGTTGGAAATAAGGAGAAAGTGAATGTGTGGAGGTAATTGTGGAGATATTCATCTTCTCAGAGCAGGATATAGTTGGAGCATCATTTATCGTTGGATATAACCCTAGCAAGGGAAAATGCTTGGAGACAAAATTCTGAAATCAAATAAACTAAATTCTAAAAAAACAAAAAATCTCTATTTAATAATTGATAGAAAAGAAGGCGGAGGAAGGCAGAGTTGCTTAGTCAACTAACACCCCTTGTTGAACTGGTTGAGCTGGTTCAGCCAAGCCCTCACGTCATTCCTTGGTTAAAATTGGATATAATTGAATTTTTCTTATTTAATCTTCTAGCAAGTGGATGTGTAATGATTTATTCAATGTGGTTGTCGCTTTTTATAAATGTGACAATATTGTTGTTGTAGAGAAAATAAATTTTTGGAAGTTGCTATAGCTGTTGTAATGAAAAGAAAAAAAAAACTAGATAGTATCATTCTAATGCATACCATACACTAATATATTTGATTATAAAAAGCAACAAACTTTTGGAGTGAGTATTAATATTCTTAAAATTGAACTAATAAGAAAGTTGCTCAAACAAATCATGAAGGGCCATTTGGTTTGCTTGCTGAAAAAATAATGCAGAATAAATCGAATGCGGTATAATTGAAATATAATTTATTTAAATTATTTTAGAGTTGTTTGGTGTGGTGTCATCAAACGCAAAAGATTTATTTTTTGTCCGGTTTGAAATAAAATGAAGTCAATGAGAAATCCGATGGCGGGTGGCAAGTTGTAATAACCACTTTTGAGAAATTGGGTAAAATTTTTGGTGATTTAAAATGTATCTCAAATTTGCATCTCTTAGAATTCAATCAAATAATTTTCTAAAATTCTACGCTTTAAATCGATCAATTTGATGTAAAATAGTAGATATAAATTATGTATTGAATGAGAGATATTAAATTTAGAAGTTGTTGAATTAATTAATTCAATTAAACTCTAATTAAAACCTTAATTAACCTAAACTCTTCCTAATCCCGCTTTACTATTTACCATCGACCTAACCTCGCTCTATTAATTTCTGGATGGCGTCGAATGGGGCAATTTACTCCAGAGCTTTTGATCCCTCTTCCCCTCTTTTGGTTTTGTCCACACTTCCCCATCTCCTTCTCCAAATTCTCATCTTCTATGAAGCTTTGCTCGGCTACTGTAGTCAAACGTGAACAAAGATATGTCAGCATCTTGCTGAGTTCCGCGACATACGACTCGGGTCATCGAAACGCAATCTCAAGGTAGGAAACTGATTGTAGCTATATTTGATATTTTTAAATCATCACGTTTTGTTTCTACATTTTTCTCAATTTTTTTTTTGTATTTTTCGTTTTTGGTGGCCATTCGAAGCACTGAACTTATGTCAAAAGTGTTGAAAGTGTTTTGCGAGATTTGTAAGGGCTTTAGTACAAAATCAGCAAAAGGGAAGTGAAGATTGAGAAGATAGGAAAAGTGGAAAGAAGTTTTGGTAGCTTTGGAGAAGGGCAGATTGTTGTGAAAGTTATTTAAGGTACATTTAAGCTAAGCAGTTGTGTTTTTTGTTAAATTATATTGAGTCAAGATACCCTAAAATCGAAAGTCATTTACAGATTTCAAGATGCTTTCTTGAGGCAACGAGTTCCAAATATACGTGTGGAAGCTAGTTGTAGTACGACTTCGTAAATTGCAGGTAAAATAATTATTTGCAAACTTAAGAAGAATAATTTTATTAACGAAAAATTGTTTGAATCTTAAAGTTTTAGTTTTGCTTTATATGTGTTTAAGATAAACATAAAAGTTATCGCAATGTTCAGATAGTTACCAAATATTATGAATATAACATGATAACTAAGGTGATAAATTTTATATTTAAATTTTAGTAATCTTCTTTTTTCAAAATGCACGTTTGACTCTATATGAAAGATCTAACTAAACTAGAGTGTACATAAAGTCAAACATATATTTTGAATTAAAAGGATTAGTGAAATTTAGAAATGTAATTATTCATCTCGATTGTTATGCCAGATTCTTAATCTTCGGTAACTATCTGGACGTTGCGATAACTTTTATGTTGATATTTATAGCATATAAAACATAATATCAAATTTTAAGATTTAAGTAAGTTCCATTAATCAAATTATTCTTCTAAGCATATGATTAATTTATCTAAATTTACGTAGTCGTCTTACGACTAGCTTCCACACCCTTGCCTCGAGCTTGTTGTCTCGGTTGAATGACTTAGAAACTGAAAATATTTTAGGATTTGATGGAATTTTGGCTCATAATATTATTTAACTCAAAACATATCTAATTTGCCTAAATGTACCTTAAACAACTTCACGACGTAACCCAACACTTCTTCGAAGCTGCCAAATCTTCTTCTTTTTTTCTTATTAGTTTCATCCTTTCTTATCTTCTTTGATTTCTCGCTTAAGACCCTTACGAAAGTTCACAACTTTTGACTTGTTCGTGCTCTGGATCTCGCTTGTGCTTTTGTGCTCAGACAAAGTTTCACAAGATACAAAAAACGAGAGAGGGAGATGGGGAAGTGCAAATGAAACCAAGAGATTGGAGATGTTTCGAAGGCTCTGGAGTAAGGATACCCCATTCGACGCCAACCGAGGGTAAATATCGCATGGGTACGTTGGTTGTGAATAGTGAGGGAATTAGGAAGGGATAATTAAGAGTTGATTAAGTTTAATTAAACTTATAACTTTCATATTTTTAATCTTCCAAATCTTTCATAATTTATATATAATATTATATATCGATTGTTTTGACGCATAGAGTTTAATAAAATTTCTTTGGTCAAAATTTTTGGGATGCAAATTTTGGGGTGTATTTTAAATTTGCAAATTTTTACCCAATTTCTCCCCAAATTTTTACCAATTTCACTGTTTTTATAATGACCAACCACCTTTTTGATTTTACCACTTAGTTTTGAGTGAGCTAAAATTAGTTTGTCTGGAATGTCCCTTAACCTGCTTTCATTTTCATAATTATTCAATTAGGTTTATCATATGTTTATTAGAATAAAAATATCATAATTAAATTATTAGAAATTTTGACAGTCATAAGTTTTGCTGACTCAAAAAAAAAAAAAAATTGAAAATTTAAAGTTGTTGAAATGGGTTTAGCCACAAATCATATCCAATAATAACAACAGGTGATTGGAGTTGCACGTTGTGTGATTTGATCAGAAGAAAGCCCCTGACAGACAAGTTCCATTTGTCACAAGTAACCCTAGTGCCATGGCGTGCTTGACAATGGAGGAATCATAGCAAGCGAAAGAAACCTTGGAGCCAGTTATAATGGCAGAAGCAAGGGAAACCAATGAACTAGCCGTAGATAATTGCTGAAGAAGAATCACAAAGAATACATTTGAAGCCATTTTACACAATATTATTTTATGAATACCATTTGAGGCAATTAAAATAAATGGTTTATATTTGTTTGATAATAGTATGTTTGGTTGTATGATACATAGTTACCAATGACTAAATGAATATAGTCTAACTTTTCTGCATGACTGCTCACCATGTTTTTGTACCCATTGAGATGATTAGATGAATAGATTGTGGGGTAGGTTTTTTCTTTTTAAAACCACTAACACTGTGAAACTTGTTGACGGTTGATTTTAAAATCGATGCAGAAGAAATTAATGACCAAACAAAGCATCACAAAATTTCATCTAATTATGAAAATGTATATTTATGTATTTTGTCATTTCGAACTCCATTGTCCAGTTACTTTATCCACCACACTGAATTACATTTGTTAAGATGAGTTATTGATGGAGTAATATGATCAATTGTTTGTGAAACTCTGTTAAGAATTTTAGTTTATTGATTTAGCGGTAGGTTCTTAAATGTCGTGCTATAAAAAATCATAAGATGCGAGAAATGATATAAAGTACCTATTTCCAGAAAATCAAATGAAAATTTTCTTGGTTAATTATTCACAATAACAACCTGGTTCTTTTGGCACAAAATTTGTCTGTTGGGTCATGTAGGTTTTACAGTTCTTTATGTAATTCTAAACCATTGTTTCTCTTTGATTTTCCTCAATCTGTTCTAAACATGCATCAAGATTTTTTTAATTGCACATGATTATAGAATTATAATTAGGCTTGATTTGATATTTTAATGATTGGATGGACGTCATATACCAATTACTTTTGTACTTTTCCATTCCCATATCCCATTTTGCAGGCAAACGACGCCGAAATTCCTTTGCTGCATGAGTTTGACGACGCTGTACAGGAAATTGGGATGAAGTTAGAGGTGTACCTACCTGATTTTTTGTTGTTCTTTTTGTTGTTCATATTGTTTTAATTTTTTTTTTTTGCAATGAAATATGCTTGAACTCGTTTATTCAAGTGACTAGTTGTTTTCTACTAGGAGGAACGGAGATTGCTTTATGTTGCCATGACGCGTGCTCGTAAGAAGTTGTATATTTTATATAATACAGTTGACTGTAACTGGAAGGTAGTTTGCGTTTATGTTGCATAATTTCTGGTTCTTTCTTTTATGTACTTCTTTATTATTTTCACCTAACGTTACAGTTGCTTCAACCATCAAGGTTTTTGAAAGAGATTCCCAGTCATCTTGTTGAACTCCAGGTACGTAATCAGTCATTATATTCTGCTTTCACGACCAATCATTATAATTTTTTTTCAGGTAATAGTAACTAGAAATTAATTTAAATGAATGAAATCAAATTTAATTAATGGAAGAGAGATTAAATAAATCTAATTGTAATACTCGTTAAAAAATTAGGTTAAATAAATGCTAAATTTCTCTAACAACACTTTTTAAACAGGCATTTGTCACTCGCGCCCAATGTGATGTATTTGCTGAGGGTTCAATGATGTCGGTTGATCCAAATGCGATAGAGGGAGAATGATATAGTTAGTGAGAGACTGAGAGGAGGGAGAGCAAGGGAGTGAGAGGAGAGCCATTGGGCAAGGGCTCGCGCAGAATGCACAAGAGAAGTGTGCATGCGGATTGCTCGGACAAATGTGCACTAGCTATAAGTTGAGGCGAGGCGGGCTTTTTTGTCATTTACGCAAGGACTTTGACTGAAAATTTTAGGGTTTTTTCTTCCATTATCCTAATCCTGAATAGGTGATTTTTTATTGATTTTCTTCTGAATTATGGAAATCCATAGGCTTTTTTCTTGACAAACGAGCAAAGTTTCATAGGTTAGGGAGTAGAAAAAGAAAATAGAAGTCTTTAGGCATGAACTTAAATCATGCAACATTTGCTCTCCATATTCGTGAAGACATAGTTTGATTCTGAAAACCCCATGTTTAATGCTATTATAAATAAAATTTTGGTTGTTTAGAACAATTGTTTAAAATTACAGAATATATGGCGCACTTTGAGACCTACTTCAACACATGTTACAAAAAATCACAATGAAGCTTACGCCTCATTGTCCCAAGGTGAGGCGTACGCCTTACCCAGGCTGAGACGCGTCTCGCCTCAAAAAATGCCTCAAATTTTTGAAGCTTTCCGTAAAACAAAATTAAAATAATATCAATATATATCATCTATTAAATCTCACCCTTCTCATAATTAATAACAAGAAATAAAATAAAGTGGTTTTCATAAAAAATTATATTGTTGAAATCCTAGCTATCAGCAACAACAACAACAAGCCTTTATCCCACTAAATGGGTTCAGCTGCGCGAATCATTTTTCTCCATTGTGTCATATTGAATGTCATATTTTCATTTAATTCTAATGAAGTGAATCCTTTTTCTCCGTTGTGTCATATTGAATGTCATATTTTCATTTAATTCTAATAAATTAAAATCATTTTTTATACAACATTCCCAGGTCTTTTTAGATCTACCTTTATCTTTCTTAATATAAATCATGTCTAAAACATCAAATCTCCTAACCGGGTCATCAGAAGGCCGACGTTTAATGTGACCAAACCATCCACGGAGACTTTCTCTAATCTCATTTGCCGCTGAAGCTACACCTACCCTTTCACGGATATATTCATTTCACATTTTCATTTCAACAACACTTAACTTAGTTTTATGCTTGTCTTTTATAGGCCAACAGTCTGTGCTATAAAGCATTCCAGGTTTCACCATCATCTTATAAAATTTTCTTTTTCTAAATGGTACTTTTCTATCACACAAAAGGCCTTATGCATTCCTCTACTTCAACCATCCAACTTGAATTATATTTATAACACCCCCATCTATATCACCATCACTTTGAACAATAGACCCGAGATATCGAAAACATGCAGTCATTTTGATGACTTGATCGCTTATTATTACAACTCTGCCGCTAGATGTACTGCAACTAAAATTACATTACATGTATTCATTTTTAGATGAAATACCAACTATGAATGTAGTTATTAACTTGAGTAATCTTTTTCTGATGATTATTTATTAAAAAATAGAAAGCAAATGTGATTGAAGATAATAAAGAATGAGAGAATCTAAATACAATTAAAGATAATGCACGAGATAAACAATTCATTATCTCAATAATTCTAATGAAAATCAATCGGGTGATGAGAGTAATTTAGGCATTATAATTAAAAATTTAAATGTGGTTGACTTGTTATATTATTGATTTAAGTGGGGGATAATATGAGAGAAAAGAACTTATTTTGATTGTTATGTTTTGATGTTTTAGTATTTGATTTTATTAACTTAGCTTACTTTAATAGTTTCATTTTTGTATCCCATCTTATTTCATAATTTGATGTTATGATATTAACATGTTAATTCAAATTTTATGCAATTTATTACTTTTCAGTTAGAATATTATGTTACTTTTTTAATGTGTTAATAAACTAAAATATTAATATTTTTATTTCTTCACACTTTTTATCTTGTACAATATTTATTAGTTCCCTAAAATTTTTAAATTTAAGTTTACGCCTCCAAACTTTTTGAGGCTTATGCCTCAACTTAATGAACATAAAACGCTTTACCAAATGGCAAAATTTTAAACATGGCTTAGAACTACTGCGATGAGAACAAATCAGAGATGAGAACAAAATTTTTAGATGAAAAATGAGAAGTTTGAGTTATGTATTCCTATAAAAGAAAAATTTGGAAAGCTTGCTTTATAAAAATCTGAAGTTCAATTTTTATATTTATCAAGGTTTTTTAAAATATTTTTCATTCATGGAATGGACTAACACTAAGAAAGATGTATTAATAAAATAGTTAATTAAAACCTTTGAGAGGAAACAATTAAAATCTAATATGCTTGATGGTATTATAATTATTATAAGTGTGTGTGTTTGTTCATATATACATATATCAAAATCGACAACCGTTTCTATGAAAATTCTGAAGTGAACAGTTGGTTTTGATCTAAAAGCGGAGTCTTATATCATTCCTGTTTGGATAAAGTTTTCGAGTTTAAAATTACATCTGTTCAACTTGAAAATTCTCTACTCTTTTGCAACTGTGTACGGTAAGGCCCTCAATGTTGATAGTCCTACGTTTGCTGTCACTAGACTCTATGTGGTTTGTGCGTTAGTTGAGAGTGATATTACTCAACCAGCTGCGGATGAGATATGGATTGGAACCACTCACAACGGGTGTTGGCAAAATGTTGAAAAAAACCACACCCTCCCTATTGCTCTCATTGCAGTATGTTTGACCACAACTCTACTATTTGCTATCGTTTGCATCCTCTTCTAAGGCCGGATATCACTAAAGATCAGTCACCTATTATTCATGTTGAGAAGATGCAACCCAATCCTCTTTCCAACACTGTAGTTCCTAACGAAGAGCAACATACTACAACTAAGATCTAGTTGTGCTTATATCACTCATTTACATGTCATGACAGACGAGAGTGCTCCTTTCATAATAACAGATCAGCCTGTACAACATGTAGTTGCTTCTAATGTGAAACAATCTGCACATCTCCAGCACGCTTTAGACCAAGATCAGGTGAGTCAATCTTTGGAAGAGGAATGACAGGTCTATTCCAGGAGTAAAAAGAAGAATGGAAGCCGACTGTAGTTCGGGATTATATTGGATGATGCATTGGTTACTACTGACAATGACAATCATTTTATCAACTTATTAGTTTACTGTATTTTAGCATTTTTAGATTTTTTCTTCAAGTCTCTACTGTACTTTTCTGTTTTTTCCAGTTTTGGAACCACTTGTGGTTATTGTGTGGGCAGAGTGTCATGTTTGGGTCCTCTCACACATTGTATCTGTATCTTTCTTTCTAGTTAATATATTCTAGTTAATATATTAGTTTATATTAGTTTTTTTGGGCTTTCAAATACACACACACACACACACACAATTTAGTTTACCTGGTCTCAATTTGCATTTTTTTCATCTTCAGGTTCTTTACTTTGTTGGGGTCATCCTCGGGGATCCTTTGAAGCTAGATCTGTCTATTTTCAACCTAATCAGACCTTCGGTGACTATAGTACTTGTGAAAATGATATTACTTTACCTGATGTTATTGAAGTTTGGCTGGGCACAACCCATATTGGATATTGACAATAAATCGTCATGGAACACATACTCTCATATTGTACCCACTGTAAGATGTTTGGGCATATCCTTGATAAATGCCACAAGTTCCATTTTAATTTGAAAGCTAAGGTTGAATTGAATAAGGATGAGTCTAACCCCACTGCTCTGGACATTTTAGTTCCACCTGGGGAGGATATTGTAGTTCCCATGGCCCCCAATGACACTGTTGTTACTGTTACTGCGAGTGATGTGATACTGACACCTTCAAATCCCATAGAAAACAATATTGTTGGATTATTACCTACAAAGGACAGTGTTCAGATTGATAATCAGGAGAACCTCACAACTCCCTGTCTTCAGGAAGTATCCGGTGTAGAGGCAACCGATACTTCACTGATATTAGAACCTATTGTGGGTACTACGGTTGTTAATCCTTCTGCTTCACCTCTACCATCTCGTCAGACTGATACTTCGGATAACGAATGACAGGTTTACACTTCTAGGAGGAAGAAAAATAATTGAAATCTACTTGAGCTCATGAGTGTTATGAATGATACTTTCGTTACGTCGGGTAGTGGCACACACCCTACCAATCTGCTAGCTGGATCCCTTCCGAGAACTAGAGTCAGAGGCAGAACAAGATTAGGATGACCCTTATGTTTTCAACGCCCGGGTGGTTTTGTGCTTTTTATTTTTATATGTATCCATTTTTAACTTTTTTGAGTGTGTTGTATTGTGTGACTTGCGTGTTTTTTTTTAGGCCCACCCATACAACATATCTGTATATTTTTTCTTTAATATATTAGCCATTGGTTTTTGTTTTTTTAAATATACACAATTTAGAGATAAAAATATTTGATATTTATCTTACAATGCAAGTTTTTGGATATAAAATTTAAGAATAAAGAGTTTGGGAATTTTGGCAACAATAATATTTAAGCTGGAATTGTTGTGAAGGGAAATAATTAAAAGGATTCTTGATTATTTATGATGTTGTATAGATCAAAAAAATAATTAGAAGTTATATGATATAAATGTATCTGAAATAGTAAGTGATATTTTGCTTTTGAAAATATAAATGATTAATATAAAAATTAGCATTGAACTAATATAAATAAATTTTGACTAGG